AGCAAACCTAATACATATAAATACATGACAAATGTATAAAGAAGCAAAACTTTTATAAACCATATTAGCTTCAGTTTTAATCAATTTTATGTAAATAATTATATGCATAATAAATAAATAAAATATGCATTGAATCATGAATACTCTGAATAGAACAAACATGAGCAATATCACACGAGTAGCAGTGCGATATGGCTGTAAATCAGCACATGTGAGAGGCGTGAGTTGGTACGAGGCCGCAGGCCACCAGTGCTGATAGACTGTACAGCCATATCGCACTGCTACGAGTGTGATATTGCGTTTATACAAGAGGTCGACGGCATATATAAATACAAAAATCAAACAAGGAGAGGCTAAAAACCCTTTTTTATTAGGAACTACTTTCTTCCGCCATTCATTCACATCTGCAGTTGCCGTCAGTACAGCAGAAGCCGTTACTAATTCACCAACGTCACTTTAGAGCTAGTGTTTGAATGACTCTCTATAGCGTAATGTCTAAAGTGATGACAAAACAACTGATTTTGCTCACACTTTAAGATTATAAGGCTGAATGTGACATGAAATGCCCTCCATCTACAGAGATATGTTCTTACAGTGTTACAGTCTACAGTATTTTTCTGTTGCAATCGGGATATCACAATAATTAAACCTGAAAAATGCAACTGTCACTGTTGAGAACCAGGATAGGATGCAGTGCATTTTGGGCAGCCGATTCGATCGGGTACTGTACCAAAGTTGGGGGTGTTGACAGACTGTACTAAAGAGGGGGGTTGGTGAAATTACAGGAGTTAAAAGACGGGATAGTTGCGGGAGATTGGTCTGAAATACGGGATACTCCCATGAAAAATGGGAGTGTTGGCAGGTATTTTCACCAGTTTAATAATAATGTGATCTGCTGTAGTTAGAAATCAGACTATTATATATTATAATTATAATCTTCTAAGCGTATGTGTAACTCTGCAGGGCCTATGCCACCCAACCCCATCCGATCTGGTATCGAACTGGCGACCTTCCGCATGGGAGTCGGTTGCTCTACCAAGGAGGCTAAAGACCATGACCTATGTCCTCTAGCGTTTGTCGCTAGAGCACCTTTTAGAGGTCAGAGGAGTGAGGTTTACCTGCACAGCAATTACTTGCTGGCCTCCGTTACATAAGGGTTTATTATGCAGTTCTGTCGCCATCTTTTAGATAGAAAATGTCAACCGTCTTTGGTCTACATTATGGCAGGCTAATGGCTGCCGACAAGCTCTCTCAGAAATTGTAAATATTTTAAAATAGGCACAATTCTTATAAACAAACTGCATAGTTGCAATCTAAACAACTACATACTCGACTTAAAAGCCAGTTTAAAGTTACAGGCAAAATATCTCACAGCTGTCAGCCAATCAGATTCAAGAACCAGACAGAACTGTTGTATAAATATACATAAAGGCATCAATACAGTGTTGTTTTTTAAATGACACTTCTCCTTCACTTACAACCAACATGATTGAATTTTTTTTTCATAAAATATACATATTTTAACATATCAGCTGATTTTAAGAGAGATAGCGCAACGTAATTTTGAGCAATAGCAATCATAGTGCTGTTGCAAAAAAACATTCATTCATTCATTTTCTTGTCGGCCTAGTCCCTTTACTAATCCGGGGTCGCCACAGTGAAATGAACCGTCAACTTATCCAGCACATTTTTACACAGCGGATGCCCTTCCAGCTGCAACCCGTCTCTGGAAAACACACACACACATTCAAACACACACTCCGGACAATTTAGCCTACCCAATGCACCTGTACCGCATGTCTTTGGACTGTGGGGGAAACCGAAGCACCCGGAGGAAAAACACACGAACATGCAAACTCCACATAGATACGCCAACTGAGCCGAGGATCGAACCAGCGACCTTCTTGCTGTGAGGCGACAATACTACCCACTGCGTCGCCATTGCGAAAAATAAATAGCACAAAAAAGTGAGCAGTCTAATTAACTTGTGTTTACACATTTAGCACGTTAATCAACTTAAGCATCCCATTATGTTGTGCATTTTGTGATAAAAGGAGCAGGGTTGTATGTGGGGCCAAATAACTGATACTAGCGCTCGATATAAACAGCTATTGATCATACATTCATTCTGCATTACAAATAATAGCCATCAGAGAACAGAGAAATTGGACTGACGGTGGGATAACAAGACTATTCATCCTGCTTTGGCTGTGATAACTCAGTATTATTAATCAGATGACCCAGGACCATTCATCACAGTGGCAAACTCCTGATATTACGGTGTCTGTTCGAGAGCTTCCCTGTAGTTAAAGACTGAGTCATTGTAGCGATCACAGATTCACAGCTTATATGAAGCAATTAACACGCAAAGCCCACAGTTTTGTCAGTCGACGTCCTACGGTGTCCGCTCTTCATATTAGTCACCGCTGCAGATCCTGATGGTTTGTAACAAGTGACAGATTCAAGGGGAAAAAAAAGCTTGACTGGAGCACTATATAAGAGACTGTTGGGTCGATATGAGAGCCTGCTTGTGTTCTTCACAGACGACCGATCAATGACACCTTGATTCTTGTAAATAGGACGATTCTGGTGTCATCTCTAAAAGAAGACTTTAGGTGATGTGTTGTCTCACAGTCTCATATTGTATGACTTGATTGAGGTTTTAGGACAGAGGTCACCAAGATTTTAGCTCTGACCCTAATCAAACACACCTGAACAAGCTAATCAAGGTCTTACTAGGCATACTTGAAAAATCCAGGCAGGTGTGTTGGAGGCAAGTTGGAGTTAAACCCTGCATGGACACCGGCCCTCCAGGACCGAGATTGGTGACCCATGCTTTAGGAGTTAGTGAAATTCATTCATTCATTTTCTTTTTGGCTTAGTCCCTTTATTAATCTGGGGTCGCCACAGTGGAAGGAACCACCAATTTATCCAACTTATGTTTTACGCAGCTGCAGCTCATAACTCGGAAAATTAGTGAAATAGTAAATGTTAATTAACTTTACACGACATTTAAAAAGTGACTTTTGCTGCTTGTTCAGACTACTCATTTATTATGAGTTGAATTACAGGGCTCGACATTGTGACCATTTTGGTCGCATATGTGCGTGAAATTTTATCTATGCGACCTCAAAATACATTTGACAGCATTTGTGCGAGAGCATAAATTTTTTTTACAGCAAAATGTTCATGGGATGAGCGGATTTAGGAGACATTCAGGCAGAATGCATCTTTGCACTTGAAACCAAAGTCCTTTTAAGGCAAGTCATTTCACTCGGCAGCCATCTTACTGTTTGTATGCCCGGGCATTCTGTTTGAATGGGAAAACATCAAATTCTCCAAAACTACATGTCAAGCTCATGATTTCCTTTAATATTATGAATAACCTATAAAATTAAACAACAACATTGTCTTTAGTTTAATTTTGTAAATGTTTATGTCACACAAAATCTACAGAAACTCATGTCTGGTCTGATCCCCTCCCCCAGAGAATTGTCATTCTATAGCAATTGCTAATTGGCTTCTGTCCTAGAAGGCGGGCTTTATTCGCTATAGCGATCGCTGATTGGCTACTGTACTAGAAAGCAGGGAAGTTACAGTTACACTTTTCCCCATTCAAAAGTATATGATTGACATGTCTTGTGTGTTCTATAGTCTTTGTTGAAACGAAAAAAGAGCAGTGGTTCTCAAACTGTGATACGTGTACCATTAGTGGTACTTGGGCTTACTTCTAGTGGTACGTGGAGGAATCACTGAGTAATGAAAGAAAAAAAATTATAAAAATTTAATCATGATAACACCAATGTGATCATTATTGGCTGTTCTCTAAAGCCTACAATCAAAGCGTTGTGCTTAGAATGTTTACTTTAGTGTATTGCATCATCCTCTGCTAAAAGTCAATTCAATTGGCGCAGAACTAGAGAAAGAGGTGCTTGGTGCTTGCAGAGCAGATACTGTATGAGCTAGAGCAGAGGTCACCAACCCTCGGCCCACAGACCGGCACCGATCAATTGGTACCCGGCCGCACAAAAAATCATTAATTATTTGAGTTTTATTTATAATCTGAGTCTGAATGATCATTTATTTTGAAAAATCTTTTATTTTGAAAAATGACCGTATTCTTTTGTTACATCTCGGTGTCATCGAGTGCCAAAATTTAACCCACAGGCTAGCAAAATGAGTAAGAACTGCAGCTCGACCCGCTTGCTTATTCCAGGCGTCCTCAGTTGAAAGCATCTTAACTTTTCAGAATGTCGCACTGCGAGTCATGTGATAAGAACAACAGATCAGCTTCATATTTTGTTGAATGAATATGAATCTGCCTCGTTTTCGAACTGTGCAGTGCTGTAGCAGCTTAAATTGGCCAACTACGCTACTTTATTTTAACACTGGTCATTATGGTGGAACTTGGAGAGACAATTTTTTTCTGAGGTGGTACTTGATGAAAAAGTTTGAGAACCACTAGCATAGAACACAGAATCACCAAAAGGCAACACTCTAGTGCGATTTGGGAAACAGCCACTAGATGGCGTTGTGGCCAATTTAAAATAAAAATTCCAATAGAACAACAGCATATTATTAGTCAGTAAAACAAAATGTTAAAAGTGCAGATGATTGTGATAGTAAGTGTTGTATTATCATCTTTCAGCTTTAATGCACTTTTTAAATAAATAAATAAAACAAAAAGCAGCTGCTTGCCATCGCAACAGCAATAAGATCCAATAGACAGCCGATCGCTTTTACTCCAAAATGGCGGGATCCGGGGCTTTTGCTGGGCGCTTCTGTTGCAATGGAGTGTTCTATTGAGTGTCGCCTCTTGGTCATTCTAAGCTCTTTGTGTGAAAGAGCTGAACATGACTCAGAACATGTAAACAACTGTATAGCAACATCCTAGCAACCACCCACAACCCTAAAACTGGTGTTAAGCACAGCCAAGAAAGGTGCTGTTTAATATACTTTTGATATAAATAAGTGCTTGCTCTTTTTTTTTTTATTGACAGTTTTCTCATGGACAATTAAAAGTATCATCAAGATGTGGTTCTGAAGTGATCACAGTGAGCTGCAGATATGGAAAACATGGTATGTGTTATTTCTTATTCTACATAGGCTATTCCATAATACATGATATTAGTGATTACTAAATTGGTTTAAGATCTTGGGAATCAATTGGACTATGGTTTAAGCTTACACAAATGACACAATATGTTAGCCTGCCACTAATTCATTTTAGAGACATGTTGTCAAAATGCTGATTCATGCAAGCAACATGTAATTTCATGGTAACGTGTAGTTAAGTTATTGTAGTAAAAAAAATGTAGTAAAGTTGTAGTAAACATATTAAAATGCTAAATTGCTATAAAAATGCTACATTACCACATGGTAGAATGTTGTGCACTACATCCGTGCTAGCATTTTAACAACATTTAATTTCATGCTAACATTGTGTTCACACATGTTAGCCATATTAAATATCTTAAAGTACATTTTAGAAAGCAACATGCTAAAACGTGTTAGCTATATTTAAATATCTTAGATACCTTAAATATCTTAAAATACATTCTGAAACATTCTAGAAACATGCTAGCAACATGCTCAAACATGTTAGCCATCCTTATTAATACATACTAACACTGTGTTCACATGAGTATGCCATATTTAAATATCTTAAAGTACATTTTAGAAACATGCTAAAACATGTTAGCCATACTTAAATTTCTTCATGATAAAACATATTAGCCAAGTTAATTGTTACTACCACTCCGTCCACATGTGTTAGCCATGCTTAAATATCTTAAAGTACATTTTATAAACATGTTAGCAACATTTAAAAAATAGTTAGGCATAATTAAAAATCTTAAATATCTTAAAATACATTCTAAGGCATTCTAGCAACATGCTAAAACATGTTAGCCATACTTAAAAATTCTAAATACCTTAAACATCTTAAAGTACAATTTGGAACATTCAAGAATCATGCAACTAGCAACATGCTAAAATATGTTATCCATGTTAATTCACACTAACACTGCATTCACATGTGTTAGCCATACTTAAATATCTTAAAGTGCATTTATAAACATGGTAGCAACATGCTAGAAAATGTTAGCCATACTTAAATACCTTAATTATTTAAAGTACATTCTAAAACATCCTAGAAACATGCTACCATCATGCTAAAACATGTTAACCATAATTAAATATCTTAAATATTTTAAAGTACATTCTGAAACATCGTAGAAACAAGCTAGCAACATGCTAAAACATGTTAGCCATATTAATTCATATTAACACTCTGTTTACAAGTGTTATACTTGCATATCTTAAAATACATTTAAAATACATATATTAAAAAAACATTTTAGAGACACGCTAGCAACATGCTAAAGCATGTTACCCATACTTAAATATCTTAAATATCCTAAAGTACATTCTGGAACATTCTAGAATCATGCTAGCAACATGCTAAAACATGTTATCTATGTTAATTCATACTAACACTGCATAAACATGTGTTAGCCATACTCAAATATCTTAAAATGCATGTTATAAACATGCTAGCAACATGCTAAAAAATGTTAGTCTTACTGAAATATCTTAAAGTACACATTGAAACATTTTAATAACATGCTAGCAACATGCTAAAACATGTTAGCCATGTTAATTCATACTAACATTACATTTGTTACATCATCTGTTTGCCATACCTAAATATCTTAAGTACATTTAAGAAACATGCTAGCAACTTGGTTAAACATGTTAGACATACTTAAATATTTCAAATATCAGAAAGTACATTCTAGAAACATGCTAAAACCTGTTAGCCGTGTTTAAAATGTGCTACAAACATGCTAACAACATGCTAATTTATGATAGCAACATAATAAAAGTGCTAGAAACATGGAAATTTATGTTAGTTGGTGAAAATATGGTTTATGTTTGTTTCCTAATGTCCATAATACATAGTAAATATACATAATAAACATGAGAATCACAGTTTGCTTAAATGACAAGTTGCTTTTTATTTTCACAGAGACAAAGGGACTCACTTATATCCAGCCCACTGGAGCTTCAGTCCAAAACCAGCAGTGCCATTCGCCGCAGGTTCTCCGGGCCTCTCCTGCTTCCCCCTTTGGCCCGCAGACACTCTGCCCTGGATGGCAAGAAGTTAAAGGACCTAGAAGCTCTTTACAAATCAGCCCTGGCCCGCGCAGACATACAAAAAGAAACAGAGTGAGTCATCCTGCACACCATACCATTCTCTGTTGAATTGATTTAGACGGCTGATAAAAGTGCACAAAGTCCTGTCTGTTGTAGTCTTCAATAGACTGCTGCTGATTGAAGCGCCATGCTCAGATTGTTCCTATTTGGAGAGGTTTCCAAAATGGGCACTGCGTGTGTTACTGACACTCCTGGCGAAATGCGACCCAGTTCAATCAGCAACCCAGCAACCACATAAAGTGCGTTTTCGTTGTCTTCAAAAAGGGACAGAGATCTTATCTGACAGGTCATAAAGATGATACCTGGATGAATTGTTGTTGTCGTTGTTTTCAGATTGAGAGTGTTACTTTAAATACTTTCTTCTCCATGTAATGAATTTTAATCCCTTGACAGTTAAAATGACCTGGCAAAGCTTTTGAAAGAAAGGTCATGGAGATTTGAGCAGAGGGTGGGAACAACTCCCGGGTGCTTCAGTGGTGTTTACTTCTCTGGTAAAAGGGCACAATGACTCGGAATGAGATCATATAAATGCAGAGGCAGCACTTTAAACCAATTCAGCCTGCCATTATGAATACACTAACATGTTATATTTAACTTTTCTCATCAGCCTAATAACAAAAGAGGTGACTATTTTTTTTAAATGTGTTCTGATTTTATTTACTTATATATTTTATTTATTTATTTACAGCTTGTGAGATATATCGGTTTCTGTAGTAAATAAATGTCAGATCAGTTTATAGGGTGGCCAGGCTTGTTTTTTAGAACATAGCAGCTGGATTGTTACTGGAAAGTGTTCTACTAGCTCTAACCAGATTGATCATGGTCTATCAGGTTGATCGCAGCTGGTACGGCCAGCTGGTAGTCCATTTTCTAAATCAGATTGAAGCAGCTAATGACCAGAAATGACCAGCATGGTCCGGCTAAAAGCCATGTATAAACACCTATAGGCTACCATGCAGTAAATGAGACCCCGATAAGTAAATACAATCACAATATTTGTATACTTACAGCTAATGGCTACCCCGGTTTTGTTTGGTCTCTGTGTTATTTATAAAACATCTCATGTTTAATCACTTACTTGAATCTGCATTATTAAATATAAATCTTCAGTACATTTCAATTTAATTTTACTTCTGTACCTTGGACTGGAAATATGACCAATGGTAATTAATTGGACTATGAATTATACTTCACGCAAGCCACATAATAAGTTAGCCTTACACTACACTGTGTACATGTTTGAAACATGTAGTCACAATGCAAACAGAGTGTAATTTCATGGTAAAATGTAATCATGTCAGAGTTTTTAATCATGTTACAAGCATACTAAAAATGCTAAATTGATATAAAAATGCTACATTGCTAAACTGTAGAATGTTGCTACATTGCAACATATTCATGTGAACACATTGTTAAAGATGCTATGAGCATGTTAGCAACATGTTATTAATTCAAACACTGTGTTCAAATGTGTTAGCCGTAACTACATATCTAAATAAATAAAGTTGTCAAAATTAAATAGTGGAGTGAAGTACTGATACAAGAAAAATCTACTTAAATACAGTAACGAAGTATTGCGTTCACACCTGTTATCTATACTTATGGCCATATCTTAATGTACATTTTATAAACATGCTAGCAACATGCTAGCAACATGCTGAAACATGTTAGCCATACTTAAATATCTTAAAGTGCATTCAGAGACATTCTAGAAACATGTTAACAACATGCTAAAAGATGTTAGCCATGTTAATTCACACTAACACTGTGTTCACATGTGTTAGCCATACTTAAATATTTTAAGGTACATTTTAGAAAAATGCTAGCAACATGCTAAAACATGTTAGCCATATTTAAATATCCTAAAGTACATTCGGAGACATTTTAGAAACATGTTAGCCACATGCTAAAACATGTTAGCCAAACTTAAAGATCTTAATTATTAAAGTACATTTTGAAACGTTCTAGAAACATGTTAGCAACATGCTAAAACATGTTGGCCATGTTAATTCTCACTGACTGCTTTCACATCTGTCAGCCATACTGAAATATCTTAAAGTATATTTTAGAAACATGCTAGCAACATGCTAAAACATGGCAGCCATACTTAAATATTTTAAAGTACATTCAGAGACATTCTAGAAACATGTTACCAACATGTTAAAACATGTAAGCCATACTTAAAGATCTTAACTACCTTAAAGTAGATTCTGAAACATTCTAGAAACATGTTAGCAACATGCTAAAACATGTTAGCCATATTTAAAGATCTTAATCATCTTAAAGTACATTTTGAAACATTCTAGAAACATGTTAGCAACAAGCTAAAACGTGTGTTACCAACATGTTAAAACATGTAAGTCATACTTAAAGATCTTAACTACCTTTAAGTAGATTCTAAAACATTCTAGAAACATGTTAGCAACATGCTAAAACATGTCAGCCATATTTAAAGATCTTAATCATCTTAAAGTACATTTTGAAACATTCTAGAAACATGTTAGCAACAAGCTAAAACATGTTGGCCATGTAAATTCAGACTAACACTGCGGTCGCATATGTTAGCCATACTTAAATATTTCATACTTTATATAATAAATATAAAGGATATTTTAGAAACATGCTAGCAACATGCTAAAACATGTTAGCTATACTTAAATATCTTAAATACCTTAAAGTACATTCTGAAACATTCTAGAAACATCCTAGCAACATGCTAAAATACTACTACTACTACTACTACTACTAATAATAATAATAATAATAATAATAATAATAATAATAATAATAATAATAATGCTAGAAACATGTCAGGGTTTGTTTTTTACAATAAGGGTACATGATTATTGATATACTAATATCTGGGTTTCAGCTCGAAGGGCATCTGTTCCGTAAAACACATGCTGGAATAGTTGGCGGTTCATTACACTGTGGCATCCCCTGATAAGTAAGGGACTATGCTGAAGGAAAATTAATGCTTGAATGAACGAATGAATGAATGAATGAATTAATTAATGAATTAATGAATGAACGAATAGTTAATTTAGCATGGAGTAATGTTACAAAAAAATAAATTGAATCAGGAATAAGGACTAACATTAGCTATGAGTGGAATCAAGATGATTCAAGTGTTGATTGCAGCCACCTTAACTGCATGTTAGCACATGTTCATTATCTTACATGTTAATTAGCAAGAAATGATCATCTTCATTAAGTGGACTCTTAAAGAATAATGAAGAATTACAAACATTGCTTAGAACTAAATTATCTTGATCTGCATTCATCTTTTTTATTAGTGTTTTCATTTTTTTCATTTTTGAGTATGTTTTACATATTTTAACACATAATTATGTTGCTTTAACATATAATCTTTCTTTCTTTCTTTCTTTCTTTCTTGTATGGACTGCTATTGATTGATTTTTTTTTTATTGGATGTTTTAAACAATTTACTTAATTTCCAATTAAGATGCCTAGGTATTTCACCCAGAAAGGAGAAAATTGTATAGAATCAAGAATTATCCTTGTGTCATTTTTTCTCTTCTTGGTTAGGTGAAAAATTGTTGTTTGATTTTAAGTATTACAAAAGTACATGCTGTTTAGACATTGTTGAGAATATTTGTTTTTTAAGGTGTTTCCATTCAGTCATTTTCCTTTGGCTTAGTTGCTTATTTGTCAGGGGTCACCACAGCGGAATAAACCACCAACTTTGCAAGCATATGCTTTACACTGCGAATGTCCTTCCAGCTGCAACCCAGTACTGAGAAGCTTAAGGTTTTATGTGTTTTGTTATTGACAATGAACTTTTTTTAAATATATATATTACTGATTGAATACCTAAGTGGAATTTTGTTTAACCCATAATCAAGTTGTTTTCTTAATTTCTTTCTTTTTTACTTTCCTTCTTTCTTTTCCACTGTGCTACTCATAAACAAACATCCAAGCGAGGCATTCTACCAAGCATACCCTTAGTCTCAACAAATTAGTAGCAGTAAACAACAACAGTAATAATAATAGGCTAATAAAAAAGGGAAAACTAATTATTATTATTACATAATTTGATCATGTTTATAATATATAACTGATTTTAGGCCAATTTTTTATCAGCACTTTCTGCACATTTCTCTTTTAATCAGTTCACACACTCAGGTTATATCAAGATAATGTTCCATTAGTTAATGTATTTACTAACATGAACAATTCGTAATACATCTATTACATGTTTGTTAAAAGTTTTTTTTAAGTAAATAATGTTAGTTCATGTTAATTCACAGTTCATTAACACGCACAACTTTTTAACAGTTTCAATAAGACATTAGTAAAAGCTTTACCATCATTAAAAAAATACATTCCAAGATTATTTGTACTTAGTTAATGTTATTAAATACATTAACTTATAGAGCATTATTCTGCAGAGTAACACCACTCAGTTTGGGTGTGTGTGTGTGTGTGTGTGTGTGTGTGTGTGTGTGTGTGTGTGTGTGTGTGTGTGTGTGTGTGTGTGTGTGTGTCTGTGTGTGAAGCACCTGGTGATGTAATGCACGCTGGGCGTCTCTATATTGCATTGCTCTGCTTTTATCTCCGCCTCAGCGCGCGCTCCCTCTCACTCACTCCATCCGGACACACGCTGCATATGTGCCGCGACGCAGGACATTTCGCCTTTTGTGCAGTGCTGAGAGACGACCATATGTCTCAGACGGTGTTTGAATTTACTCCTTCTCCATTGGCACCGCCTTTATTGCCGCTGAACGATGAGGAGAGTGACTGAGCGAGTGTAACTTCTGCAAACACTGTTCAGCGCGCTTAATTATTTACCGTATAAATACTTGCGCGTCTCACTCGAGGGTGTCTTGGCTTCAGCACTGGCTGCTTGGACAGCTCTTTTGACACTGAGGAACTTCCGACTATTAAATCTTAAACCAGCTCAACTTCTGCAGTGATGGAGTGCTCGGCGCTGAGCAGGGAAGGTGCTGGTCTGGCAAAACCGCCGAAGCATCTTTGGAGGCAGCCGCGAACCCACATCCGAATCAAGCAGCGGTACCACTCCGACACCGAACGGTACCTGTGCTGTAACAAAGCGACAGAGAAGAACCGTCCAGGTCTGAAAAAGCCACGAATGTCCTGGCCGTCTTCTTTTCATAAACGGTAAATCCTACTTTTAAATGGATGTTTGATGCTATTGAAGAGAACTTCCACGTGGGAAATAACAACTTCCCTATACACTGTGAAAAATGCTAGATTTCACACAATCAATTTGTGCTTGGACAACGAAGGAACTAAGTCAACTTATTCGTTTTTATACATTTAAGTTGATTTAATATAAAGCAATTAAGTTTTCCCCTCAGCTCATTTTAAATAGGTAGTTTCAACAAACAGCAAATGTTATAAGTGTTCACTGAAAAAAAAGATGTCTGCAAAATTGTTCCAAACAATTTATGTTTTTAATTTAAACACACAAATTAAATTTAGTAATGTTTGACTTAATTATTTTTTTTTATTCAACCCAGATATATTGTTTACACAGCTCCTTAACTTTTGGTAAATCCAAGGAATCATCTCTGAATCAATTTTTAGTGTTGCTGGTCCATTTCCAAAACAACGATACTTTGTGAATTTAACATTTATTTTTATTTTAAATTATGTTTAAATTAAATTACGTATTTAAATTGTGCTGAAACAACACAATTCTTAAGGGGGCCTTAGGGCAACTTCATTGTTTTATGTTCAGTTTACTTAAATTTGTTAAACTAATAAGTTAACTCAATTACTTTATGTTGTACAAACACAACCAATTGTGTATAGAAACCTGAATTTTTTCCCAGTGTATTCTACCTGATACTGATCTATTTTTCACGTTTTTTTATGTGTGTGAGAAAGTGTCAGTGTGTGTCTAATTAACTTTTTCATTAGAAAACCGAAACTCCAGTGTCATGTTTGGACAGGAAGCAGATTAAATTAACTAATTTATTCATTTAGAAAAGAAAAAAAAAACTATTACTTTATATTACTATATTCTTTATATTACTACTTTTTTAAAAATCTCTGATCATCCATCTTTGTTTGGATTTATTAATATACAAACAGACAGTATGGAATATATGTATACATGAAGATTTCAGATGCAAAAACCTCTAAAAACCATCTGAAACTTTCTCCTAATTTTTTTTCCAGGTTAATATGTATAAGCTGAGTAATTTCTCTTTTATATCAATTATTATGTTATTTTCATTGCCTTTAATGTAAAATTAGTGAACGTAAATATAGGAGTCTCTGAAAAATGCTCATTTTAAAGACAATTTCAGACGGCACTTAGAGGTTAAAATATAAAATAGTAATAATAATGATAATATCCATTCATTAATTTTCCTTCGGCTTAGTCCCTTTGTTCATCAGGGGTCCCCACAGTGGAATGAACCGCCAACTGTTCCAGCATATGTTTTACACAACCCAGTATTGGGAAACACCCATGTAATCTTATTCACACATACACTCATACACTACGGCCAATTAAGTTTATTCAGTTCACATATAGCACATGGCTTTGAACTGTGGGGGAAACCAGAGCACCAGGAAACCTTCTTGCTGTGAGGTGACAGTGCCAACCACTAAAGCCACACACTAAATTGGTCGCAATGTATGTGTGTGTGTAAATTATACCTGTCAACATTGGGATGTGAAAATAAGGCATACCTTTAAAAATGCACCGATCTATGAGGACATTTGATTGCTTCAGGGTTGATTACGATGATGAAGCATTGAATTGCTTTACTAACATTTTATGCTCATTTAAGAGAAAATTTATTGTGTTTAAAAGAAAACCCAGCAAGATCAACATGTTTAGATGTTATTATTATTATTGTTATTATTATTATTCATTCATTCATTCTTTAATTTTCTTGTCGGCTTAGTCCCTTTATTAATCCAGGGTCACCACCGTGGAATGAACCGCCAACATATCCAGTACATTTTTACGCAGTGGATTCCCTTCCAGCTGCAACCCAGCTCTAGGAAACATCCACACAATCATTCATACACACACACTCATACACTACGGACAATTTAGCCTACAAAAATTCACCTGTACCACATGTATTTGGACTGTGAGGGAAACCTGAGCACCCGGAGAAAATCCACGGCGAACGCAGGGAGAACATGCAAACTCCACACAGAAACGCCAACTGAGCCGAGCCAAGCCGAGGTTTGAACCAGCGACCTTCTTGCTGTGAGGCGACAGCACTACCTACTGCGCCACTACGTCGCTTATTATTATCATTATTATTAATAATATTATGTGTATATGTCTGTTCAAACACACACCAACCCCCCACCCCCCCCCCCCCCCCCAAAAAAAAAAACTTAAATTTAAAGCTCCACTTCAAATCTTGTGTACAGAAACAGCATCTTTGTATCAATATGGAGCGTCATGCACCGCTACATAAACGGACTGTTTTAAAGATTGCATAGGAGGGACAACAAAGCCTGTAATGGAAAGGAAGGGCCGTTTTTATAATTATTATTTCAAAGTGTTTTCATGCCTAAATAAAATGAAAGCACAGAACAAATTCACATTTAAGTGAATAAGGAAGTGGCGTCCCCTGGTGATTCGGCGGAATGGTTTGCTAATAGGGAGGATTGGCTCTTTAATCTTTATAGCCACCCATCATAGAAAGATTAAAAAATACAGGAGAAATACAAGAAAATATCTTTAGGGGATGATAGCAGGATACAATTGTGAATTAAGAGTGAATCCTGGGAAAAAAGGGAAGGTTGACAGGTATAGTTTAAATAGAAGAAAGTTTGGTTTTTTTTTTTATCAGCAGTGCAGGTTTTCGTGAATTAGTGTACTCTCAATTCTGGGTTGCAGCTGGAAGGACATCTGCTTCATAAAAACAATAGCCAGAGTAGTTGGCGGTTCATTCCACTGTAGCGACCCCTGCTAAATCGGGGACTAAGCCAACGGAGACTGAGTGTTTATCTCTCTTAAATGGAGGCTTTCAACAGGATGCTTTATATTTACATTTAGTCATTTAGCAGACGCTTTTATCCAAAGCGACTTACAAATGTGTTTCAGGTCTGTAAAGTCTAAGAAGGAAAGTATTAGTAAAATTTTTCATTTATTTATTTCTTTTTTTTGAGTAAGTTAGTGGTATATCCAGAGAGGCAATTGCAAATTAGGAAGTGAAGTGGAGACTAAATAGTTGAGTTTTAGTCGTTTCTTGAAAACAGCGAGTGACTCTGATGCAGTTAGGGAGTTCATTCCACTAACTGGGCAGATTGAACGCGAGCGTTCGGGAAAGTGATTTCTTCCCTCTTTGGGATGGAACCACGAGACGACGTTTATTCACAGAATGCAAGTTTCTGGAGGGCACATAGATCTGCTGAAGTGAGAGCAGATAAGAAGGAGCAAAGCCAGAAGTTGCGTTGTAGGCAAACATCAGAGCTTTGAATTTGATGCGAGCAGCAACTGGCAGCCAGTGCAAACAGATGAGCAGCGGAGTGACATGTGCTCTTTTAGGTTCATTAAAGACCACTCGTGCTGCTGCGTTCTTGAGCAGCTGAAGAGGCTTGATAGAGTTAGCTGGAAGCCCAGCTAGTAGAGAGTTGCAGTATTCCAATTTGGAGAGAACAAGAGCTTGAACAAGGAGTAAAGCTGCATGTTCAGATAAGAAGGGTCGGATATTTCTGATGTTATAGAGTGTGAAGCTGCACGATCGAGCAGTTCTAGAAATGTGGTCAGAGAAGTTACAACAAGATATGTGTATACATTAGATTAGTTGGTACCAAAGCCAAATCTGGAACTAGTTTAACAAAGCAACTAAAAAGACCAAATCCCAATGAATATGTTAGGGGAAAATATTAATTAAGATGTTAATAAAAAAACTTACTCTCAGTTCATTTCTTTTCAATTTAAATGAGCTTTATTGGCATGCATGTTCTCCCCGTGTTCGTGTGGGTTTCCTCCGGGTGCTCTGGTTTCCCCACAGACATGCGCTAGAGGTGAATTGGTCGTAGTTTATGAGTGTAAATGAGTGTGAATAGATGTTTCCTAGTACTGGGTTGCAACCAAAAGGGCATCAGCTGTGTAAAACATATGCTGGATGAGTTGGTGGTTCATTTCACTGTGGAGACCCCTGATGAATAAAGGGACAAAGCTAAAGGAAAATTAATGAATGAACTATTGGCATGACTCGTCAAGTTTTCAAAGCATTGCAGATGACATAAACAATGATTAAAATAGTATAATACATACTGTTTATACATACGTAAAATAAAAATGAAGAAATGAAGACTAATATGATAATTAATTAATGAAATTAAAGGTTTGTTTAACAGTGAATATAATTTAATAATAATATATACAACTGTACAATCCTTTAGATGGTTTATTACAATGTTTCTGATTGGTTTTGTCCACTTTTGACAGGCTTATACATATTCTGCTGCTATTATATCAGACTGAAATTTTCTCCTAGGTCATGCTTCATTTTTCATTATCTGGAAATTGGAGAAGTATGTGAGAAGTATGTGTGGTAATGTTCTCGGTGTGGCAGGAAGTGTTCTTGGTTTTCAATGATCTCTAAGAACACAGTGAGCACAATCTCTTTCTCTCTCTTTCTCTCAATTAATGTCTTATTTTAGCCTCTTTAACACTGCTCAGGTATTCAGTCAGTCTTCAATTGTGAATATAGTTGAGTTTTCAGTGATTTGATGGCATATTCTCAGAAAGAGATGTACACTAGTTGTGTTTCTGTGCCTGTATGATGTGTTTGGGCCTGATTGTGTCGTGCTGGTTGAGTTTCAGCAGTAGTTGTGACAGTGCACTCCTGTGTATTCAGACTGTTTCAACCTTTTTTTGGTCCCACTTTATATTAAGTGTCCCTAACTACTATGTACTTACATCAAAAAAAATAAATACAATGTACTTACTGTGTTTATAATGTATTTGAGAACACTTGTGGTGCTTTTGAGTTGGAATAAAGGTTGGGTTATGGACAGGTTTGGTGGTATGGGTAGGTTTAAGGGTAGGTAAAGGTGTAAGGGATGGTCAACAGTGTATTTACAAATGTAATTACAAAAGTTAACTACAGATGTAATTACATACATGTATTTAATCAAGCATAAGTACACAGTAAATACATGTATTT